GACCTTTTAAGGCGCACTTGGCGCATTTTGTCATCCCGTCGGAGGGATGCGAGAGAGAGAAAGGTAGATGTATGTTTGATATAATCGGGAGAGGGTCTTCCTTGGTATTCTAAGAGCTGGAAAGTCTTACTGGAAAACAATGCCTATTTCTTTTGTTTTTAAATAAAGTTAAGTTTTATTGTTTTAAAAATCTGATCTGCTTATTTATTGGAAAGGAAAGGCATTACAGAGACCATGAACGATCTTCTGCCCGCGGACCTGAATTAATGTACCTACTGCAGGTGACTTGCATTTTTTCACGATATTTCGCGTTATACAATGAGCTGTAGCCGAAATCTATAGATTTGACACGATTTATTGACTTAACGGACATCAATATGAATGGTAAAATCAAATAAAATTGAACCACTATATTGACCAGTACAAAAAAGTTTATTGACATTAACTTACTTACTCCTGATACAGCATTAATTTTTAACCGTTCTTGAAAAAAAAATCTTAACTCGAATAATAAAACGTGAATAATAAAACGCACATATTCACTATCCGTCAAATTGACAACACTGCCAACCTACAGAAAGAATTTAGGGGAATTCCCTAGGCATAACTTTTGAATTTCTCTCAACTGAGTTGTCATGATTAAAGTGGGGTTGCAACCTGTCATATTTATTTTGAAAATGGTAGAAATTTCCAAAAGTTCACTTCGATCGAGAATTCTGGTAAGGATTCGAGGGCCCCCTGAGCTTGAGGGCCCCGGGGCACTGCCCCGCCTAGCCCCTAGGTAGCTACGCCACTGGTTAGATATCAGTCAATAATATTCAGTTTATACCGTTCTTAGTTTCATGCAAAAACCCTGTTTTTTACTTTGTTGAATATGTCAAATTTTGTGGTAACTGAGCAGCATTTGTGGAAGGTTTTACGTTTCTGCTTTAATTGGAAGAAAAGTGCAACTGAAGCGCATCGAATGCTTGTAGAAGTTTATGATGACAATGTTCGAACTGATAAATCATTAAGGGAATGGTTTCGACGTTTCAAAAATGGTGAATGGTGTTGTATACTATGAGCTGATACAACCTGGTGATTCCGTTACGGGCGATCGGTATAGGCTACAATTGATTCGTTTGACCCGTGCATTACGAGAAAAACGGCCGGAATACGAGCAAAGACATGAAAAGTTATTCTTCTGCGTGATAACGGTCGGCCTGATGTCGCAAAAGTCGTACAAATTATTTGGAAGCGCTCAAGTGGGATATTTTACCGCGCCCGCCGTATTCGCCGGACATTGCTCCTTCTGATTGATCTTCTTCGGACGGATGCAACACGATTTGGCAGGGCACCGGTTCACTTCTTTCGCAGAAATCGAAAATTGGCTCCTAACTTGACAAGACGAAAAAGGCTAGACAATTTTTCGAGATGGAATTCGAAAATTGCCTGAGAGGTGGAAAAAAGTAGTAGCCAGCGATGGGCAATACTTTGATTAATCTGTCATTTTTTTCTGTTATAAATGCATTTTTTACCACAAAAAAACGGACCAAACTAATTTGTACTCCCAATATTATCGTTTTATTTTATTATTTTTTATTTCATTATTTTTATTTTATTATTGTTTAACGTAATACAACTTATGTTTTTTTTATTTTTAAAGATGAGGTGACAAAGTATCTACCGGTCACAAAAATTACAAATGTCACGAATTTGAAAAAAAAATGTCCAGCAGTGGACTGATCTTAAAGACACGGTTTCCAGGTAAACACCGCAGTCAAGCATCACTGGCTGCTGTCAGTAAGCACGTGGGTGACCACTTTGATCAGCATAAGCAGGGGCCTACCTACCAGGGCCTAAAATGCCTACCTACCTACCTTGGAAAAATCACGATTTTTTTAAAAAGAAAGTTATGGAATTTTTTCTTTTCAACCTCTTAATAACCTAAATTCGAAATTTGTGTGCCTTAATAATACCTTATTAATAGTATTTAAAATTGAAAAATTACACGAAAATGGCTCAAAAACGATAAATAACGATCGTAAAACTATGTAAATTTATGAAAAAATAGTTACAAACCGAAAGATTATAATTGATACCTTCCCAGGTAGCAAAATAAGGTTTATTTTTACTCAGCAAAAACTTTTCAATGTAAACTTAAAAAGGTTTGTTATGCGGTTTACGTGTACAACCTTAAAACGAGACCTGAGACAATCTGCTCTATTTTACCCTAATCCAAAACCTTGGAAAACAACCTTCTATATAAAAACCTTAAATCGAGGTTGATTTAGGGTTTTCAAGCGTGAAAAAATCCTTTAATAAAACTAATCTCGAGGTGAAAATAATCTTAAATCTAGGTAAGTATAAGGTTTTTATTCGCAAATTCTTGTGTGCTCAGCTAAAATCCACCTTTTCATGATATTTTAAATGACAATACTTTTTTGGAAAAGCTTTAAAAAATAATTTTTAATACTTTTAGAATGAAAGGTTTGAAACTGCAATATTTTTGCTTCATTAAAAAAAGGTTTTTAGAGTAAACATTTTCATGACAATATAAAGAAAGTACCGACTCAAGGTTACATGTTTTCTGGCCTTGAATTTGAAATTCGCGTATTGTAATAACATCGTATTAAAAACATCAACATCTGAAAAACTAGCGAGAAACGTTCTAAAAAACGGATCAGAAAACAGTGTGAGTTTACGTTAAAATCTTTGCAAACCGAGCTCACCAAAAAGGGATGACTCAAATTTAAAATTCGTTTATCGTACAGTACACAACCCGTTATCCGGAAAACCGGAAGATCAAGAAATCGGAACGAAATTCGATAAATTTTGCAGCCATTTTTTTTCAAAAAAATGCGTTTTTCCTCATAAGATTTCAGNCCGTTATCCGGAAATCAGAAAACCGGAAGATCAAAAAACCGGAACGAAATTCGATAAATTTTCCAGCCATTTTTTTTCCAAAAAAATGCGTTTTTCCTCATAAGATTTCAGGATTTTTCGTTCTTTTTTTAAAGATGTTTGTTTACCTTGCCATCATTTTGGAAATAATCATTAGAGTATTACTTCATCGTTTTTTTCTTCCTTTTAAGATTACATTCAAATATTTTCTTTTTTTTAAGTTGGATTTAACAATAAAAAAACGGCTTTTTGTAGAGATTCAGAAAACCGGAAAAATCAGTTATCCGGAATAGCGATGGTCCCGATCGTTCCGGATAATCGGTTCCCTACTGTANCCAAAAAATTTTTTTTTAGTTGGGTTTAACAATAAAAAAACGGCTTTTTGTAGAAATTCAGAAAACCGGAAAAATCAGTTATCCGGAATAGCGATGGTCCCGATCGTTCCGGATAATCGGTTCCCTACTGTATTAAAAATATCGATTTACGCAGAAATGGCTAAAAAAAATCACATAAACAGCGGAAAAACGAACCGCAAACATCGTAGATTTACTAAGAAGTCGTCGCAGATCCAAGTCGTCAAAAGGAGATAATTTAAATACGTATTGTATTAACGTCGAAATTTAATTAACCTTGTGGAAACGATCGAAAATGACGTGTATTTGTGACGGAATCGTTGCGAAATGAGTGCCTTTAATAAATTCGAATTAATCGGAATTTAAAAAATCAATAGATAGCTGCCGGAAAACGTTTATAAATCGACAGAAATTTGCGATGGAATTATCACGAATCAAACACGTCAAAAGCTAATTACTCAAATTCGCTTATTATCCTAACATTGAATTAACAGAGTTTGCTAACTTGTTCCGG